TTTAAAAATCATATCACCGTTATTGAAAAAAATTATATCGCGATACATATTGATATTGAATTATTGTCCAGCCCTATTCTCTCCATGTCTCATGTAGACGAATCTCGCCTCGTTTTATCTCATGTCATCTCTTTGCTCTCCTCTCCTCATCTTCTTTTCTGGTTCTCTCCCTTCTCTCCTCTTCTGTTCTCCTCTCATCTGGTTTTATCTTCTTCTCTGCTCTCCATTCTTCTCCTCGTCTCATTTCATCTCATATTATCTCCTCTCCTTTTTTCATCCTTACCACATCTTGTCTCATCTCTCCTCATTTCATCTCATCTTGTCTCTTCTCCTGTCCTCCATTCATAGCATCTCGTCACCTCTCCTATTCTTCTCAACTCATCTCCTTTTTGCTCCTCTCTTCTCTTGCGCTTCTCAACATATATCCTCTGACATAAGCTTAAGCGTGGGCACACGTCACTTTGTGTTCTTTCATTTTGTAGCACATGACCAAACACACATACGAACTCAAACACAGACACACACACTTGAATCCATCCCTCCCCATCCCCCACATGCTGCTTAGAGACTGCAGTCATTTGTACATCGACAAGAATGGTGTTTGTGTGTGTGTGTGTGTGGTCATGTGAATGTGACATGCTCACAGGACACGCTCATCTATGGCCGCAGCAGAGCTGTGACAGGCAGCATCGTCGTCTCTCAACATCCTACTGAGCACCACATGAGCCTCTGTCACCGACAGCAAGATAGCGAGAGATGGAGAAATCGAGACAGGAAGTGAGAGTTAAAGGATAGAGAGGACTGAGTCAGAAACCGAGGGGACTCTGGGGAGGAAAAGATTGTGACGTCACGCGGCCGAAGCACTTTTATGCCTGATTTTTCTGGAAATGCATTGGATCTCAAACGAAGCTACGTCACTAAATCATCTCCTCCTTCGCACACATTCGTTAAGAGCAAATAAAGCCCGGTTAGCTGTGAGATATTCGAGTGGGGTGTTGGGAGGGTATTTCTTTATGAAGGGGAATTCCCCTGACCATCACACACACACACACACCACCACCACCACCACCACTGCAGGAAATTACACCACCCGCAACTGATGCAAAATAAGCCTCATCATTACAGGAAGAAAGCCAATAAAATGGAGCCCAGGGAAAATGTGGCTGAAACTTGCAGATATGAAGACGTCCAGCGTGTTTTGATCTTTGGATTTTGGCCCTGGGATTTGTCTTGTGTATTAGTGTGTGGATGTGCAGTTGTGTATGTGTGGATGTGTTAAAAATAACACAGGCATATAGGCTTGTGTCACTAAAAGTAAATATTCTTGCAGGGGGTTGAGTGACAGTAAAAGTAATAAAAAAAAAATCATAAAATATTACTGTAAATATCAGTACATCAGTACTCAGAATTATATTTGGATAAATATATGAATAAATGTAAATATAAATTAATTGTCTGAGCCAGTACCTTTTAGTGAATCAAAAATATACAACATGTCTATTGTTGTCTGTTTCCTGATTTTTTTTCTTTCACTGAAACAAATTCTGTCAAATTCCCAAATGAATGATCCTTTTGAGCTGATTCTTTTTTAATGAACCAAAAATATACAACATGCCCGATGGAATCTATTTTATTAAATCAAAAGTATACAGCATGTCTATAAGATT